GTGCGCTCCTGGTGTGTTTGGACTTCGAGACTGTCAAGGACAGAAATGGGCTGGGCATGGACGCAGAAGTGTAGAGGTCAGGGGTAAAGGCAGAGAAGAGTTGGGCTATGGCCAGAACACAGATGTGGAACTCACTCTGGGGGAAATGGAGATCCCTTAAAACGTTAAAAATAGAGGACTGACTGACTCTGATCTGTGGTTAAAAAAGATCATCTTATCTCAGTGTCAAGGCAAATGGAAGAGTGGAAAAGCTGTAGCCAGGGGACCCAGTTAAGGGCTCAGTGAGAGTGTTAGTGAGAGATGATTCCGGCTTAAACGGAGGAGGTGACAGAAGGTATAGAGGCCAGGAGGGCCAGGGAAATAGGGGGATGCCGTGCAGGCGGTGGGGTTGAACCATCGCAAGATCAAGGCTGACGTGTTTAGATGCTCTAAGAATCTCTGCCCTCGTTTTTGTGGGGAGGCCTGGAAGCCCAGAGAAGTCAATCTGTGCAGGACCTGAAACCCAGATCTTCTGATCTCTGTCCAGTACTTTTTCCAAAATGCTGCTTTTCTATCTACACTTTCCCAACCAATGCTGATTTCTTTATAACACAAATTATACATCAGAGTAGTACGGTTGCAGTTATTGCAAAAACTGTGAGCCTGGCCGGGCGCGGTGGCTCACGCCTGTAATCCTAGCTCTCTGGGAGGCCGAGGCGGGCGGATCGTTTGAGTTCAGGAGTTCGAAACCAACCTGAGCAAGAGCGAGACAGTATATACAAAAAATTAGCTGGCATGGTGGCACATGCCTGTATCCCAGCTACTCAGGAGGCTGAGCAAAGGATCGCCTGGCCAGATTTGAGTTGCTGTGAGCTAGGCTGAGCCCACGGGCATCACTCTAGCCTGGGCAACAAAGTGAGACTCTGTCTCAAAAAAAAAAACAAAAAAAAAAACTGTGAGCCTGGGCGCGCGTGCTCACGCTGTAATCCTAACACTCTGGGAGGCCGAGGTGGCGGATTGCTCAAGGTCAGGAGTTCAAAACAGCCTGAGCGAGACCCCGTCTCTACCATAAAATAGAAAGAAATTAATTGGCCAACTAATATATATAATATAAAAATCAGCCGGGCATGGTGGCTCGTGCCTGTAGTCCCAGCTACTCGAGTACAAATCCTGACCAATGTGCTATACTATCGCTTGAGCCCAGGAGTTTGAGGTTGCTATGAGCTAGGCTGACGCCACGGCACTCACTCTAGCCTAGGCAAGAAAGCGAGACTCTGTATCCAAAAAAAAAAAAAAAAAACTGTGAGCCTATGCTATCTAAATTTGATAAAACCACTTGAGATCATTGTGGCCTCCCCAGTATCCATCTCTCTTTTTCCTTACTGGGGCCAATGTGTGCGTCTGTGTCAACCCGCCTTTGCAGCAGAGAGGCCAGCGAGGTTTCCGCTGGGATCTTGGGCAGAGCATCTGGGAAAGTCCTTTAAAGGGGGCTGCCCCCGCTCGAGGGGACTCCACTGTCCCCCTCCACTTTGTCTCCTTTCTGCCTGGAATATAACTAGATGGCTGGAACCTCAGCAGCCATCTATCACTGTGATAGAAAATTCACTGTGAGGGAAATTTGATATGGGAGCTACACATTAAGGGTGGGGGGCAGAAAGGAGGTGTGTGGGTTCTTGATGAGCCACCATGGAGCTACCATACCAGCCCTGGACACCTTATTGCCAACTTTCTTTTATGTGAGAGAAAAATAAACCTCTGTCTTTTTAAAGCCACTGCTATTTGGGTTTCTTGTTACAACTAAACCAACTCCTAACTGACTTAAATGCATAATGTGCATTTTACTTTTTATTTGTATAACACAATGTGAATTTTAACGAGAGATCATATGAATAAGAAAAAAAGGTCAGTGCAGAGAAGGAGGTGATCTATGTCCTGTGATAAGTAGAAACAAGGTCCTTATCATCTGGGGAGGTGCCATGAACAGATAACACTGATGTTACCAAAGTTTAAAGAAACTATGCTGCCGGGAGTTTGTGACTCCCCCAACAAATCGGGTCCTGCGGGCAGGAATCACATCTGAAAGCCTCACCCGTTCACAGTGCCTGGGACAGGAGGAGGTACTCACCGCTTGTCTGCCGGATAGTGCGGGCTGTCCTTCCAGGCCTCCTCCAGCATTTGCTGGGTCTTTCAGTCAACAAACACCTTCGGTGTGTGCCGCAGATGACTGGCCTTTCACTTGTAAGGAAGAGCCAGCCCTGCCCTGCGGTTCATCTTTGCTGCAGAGCCGCTCACTCTCAGTGCCTTGGGCTCAGATTCCCTCTCTCGCTCACTCCTCATGGGTGACTGCCATCTCCCAGGACTTTGAGGGGCTCCCAGAGCAGTGGGAGGGATGGAAAAGGGAAGACAGACATGAACTTGAGCTTGTAAGCTCACACAGGCCACAGGCACAGAACACACAGATGGTCTGGAGGGACTACAGGGAGGGGGCAGGCCTTGCTAATTTGCTGCCTGGACTGCTGGCCTGGGGGCGCTGATGGTTGGAAGGAAGAGAGCAGCCCTTTCAGGAAGGGGCAGGAAGCCAGTCACACCTCCGGTTGCTGCAGCGAATTTGTGCTCCCCTCCATGTCTGCAATGGCAGTCCCTTGGCTAGATTGCCACCGCCTGCCCCAAGGATTCTCACACTACGTGGGCACCACAATGGCTCAGGGACCTCATACATCTTCTCTTGACATCTGCCAACTTTGTTGAAGGCCCAAAGACTGCTGGCACAGGAAGGGACCATAAAGATTACCTAGTAGTGTCTAGACCTCTCATTTTATAGACGAGGACACCGAGACCAGAGGGAGGATGTGGAGAGTTTCACACAGCCGGTGGCAGGGCCAGGACTGCAGCCTAGGTCTGCCAGTTCCCAGCCCAGGGTCTTCCCGGGGTGCCATTTCCTTCTGGCATATCAGAAGTAGAATACAGGGATCAACGCTGGGCCACTCAGAGGCCACACAGCTGGTGTTAGAGGTGTCCCGGGGGATCCCAGGGCCGTGGATAGTGCCTTTAGTCACAGAAGCTGAGAGTCAGAAGGGGAGCCCATCTGATTCAGCTCTGTCTGGCATATAAACTCTTTCTCCATCCTCACTTCACTCCTTACAGGGACAGAATTTACAGCTTCCCAAGGCAGCCTATTCCTTTTTGAACAAGTCTATTAAATAGTTCTTCCTTATGCCATCTCATAACTTCCACCCACCACCAAAGCCTTGATGATAAACTCAGTCAAGCACTCATGGAACATGTGACTGCAGACACTTCTAAGAAGGGTTCCTGATGCACCCTCCAAGATGAATTAAACATAAAACAAGCTCCTGGGTAACTGAACCACTGGCACTGTTGCATAAGATCATTTGTACTTAACCTAGTTGAACTATAAAGACATCACTGCCAAAATAATGATTTTTTTAAAGGATGATCGGTATTTTCGCCTTTCTTCTCTGAATGCCATTGGATCGGGGTCCATATGTATGTTGAGGTTAATACATGGCAGTGAAACCATGTGAGAGTCAGTGGGGAGAAAGTCGCCGGCCCTCCTCTTCTCTGTAGCAGGGACGTAGGCCTCAGCTCACCCGGCAGCTGTTTCACGCTGTTGAGGAGAGGCCCCACAAGTCCACATGCTCCTCACCACGGCTGCGGCACCGTCCCGCAGAACCCAGCCCTCACACAGTCCGACCTTGCTACCTGAAGCGTGGTCCGAGGACCAGCCTTGCCTGTGGCTTGCGACAAACGCAGCACCCCAGGTCCGCTAGCCACTTGCATCTGAGTCTCCTCTAGGACGAGGAGGGGAAGGGGAGGCTGAAGGCACAGCAAGGCCCTTCACTTTGACTTTTGTTGTGAATGGTGCTAAAGCGCTCGTTTCCCTTCACCACTACGCGGGTCTTTTAAATTAAGAATTCACAGTTCGGCATACCCCCACGATTACCACTCCCCGCAAATCTCCATGCTCTGCTTTTGCCTTCCTTTCGGATGATTGGGCCGCCTCACCCCTGCCTGCGCTTTCCTCCGCACCACAGGAGCAGTCGTTAGTCCTTAGGTGCCCTCAACACGGGCCTTAGCAATGGCATGGTCCCCCCTGTCCTGTGCCTGCCTTCTGAATACCGTGTGAGGGAGGGAGAGCCACATGAGGGTCTGATTCTGAGTTGTGGCCGCTCTAGGTGGCGGCTCTAGCCTTCAGGAGTTTTTCCTCATTTACTTAAGAGCAGTTATTCTCCCCAGATTACCTATAGATAGGGCCAACCACTATGAAATCCAGATAGATTTTCCGATGCCCAGCCCTTTCTTCTCCAGTTCTACTTGTTCCTGAAAAAGTGTCACTCAGGAAATGCTTTTAGAGAAAAACTGTGCCAGAGACCCTGTGTTCTAGAGAAAAGCCCTGCTATATCCCCAGGTTATGGCTCCAGCCTCCCCCTGGGACAGCAGGAACATGTGGACACTTAACTAACAAGGACACCTGAAAAACAAGAGGGTGGGAAAAACAGGGGGCCGGGTGTGTGAACACAGACTGCTGGCCTCAGCCCAGGGGGAGGAATGTTGTCTGCATCGGCCTTAATGCAGCACCTCTCCTACCCCAGCGTGGACAGACCCATTTCTGCATGTGCTGAAAGCTTTTCCTTATGGAGGAGCCAGTGCTAAAGGAAGGAAGTCCTGCTAGTTGAGGAGGTGCCGTGCACGCATCCGACGGCTCTACCTCCAGCCGCGGCCAGGGAGCCCCAGATCCCAGGCTGCAGCCACCCTGCCTTGCAGAGAGAAGGAGTGTGTGCGGATCTCTGACTTCTCACAGTGAGGGAGGTGGGAATTGGACGGTGCAAGGAACTGGCGAAGGCAAACCTGGTGAGCAGCGTGGCCCCACAGTGCAGATTCCAGAGGGTGCAGCCCTGTGACAGCAGACATTTGTGCTATAAATGTTTGAAACGCTTTCCAACCTTTCTCAGTGAGCTGAGTCCCACAGTTCTTGACCTGTGTGTTTTCTTCACCTTCAGGTCCACATTGGCCAACTATATTCAACTAACAAGCTTATCATTGAGAATCAAGAGAAGCCCAAGACCTAGGAGCCGGGGACCTGCCATCAGCAGCAGCCGGGGACCACCTTCAGCATCGATTCTGTGCTTGGGAGCCTCCAGCTCCGCCTGCCCTCTGGGAGCTGATAGACTGAGTCACATTTCCCTTTCGTTGCAGCCTTGCTGAGCGAGCACGGCCGTCCCCCTCAGTTCAGTGTTAGCGTGAAGAGCGGGCACGCTCAGGACAATGCCGTGTATTGTCGCGCCTCTCTCCACCCACCCCCGTTCTGTAGCTCACACCGCTGTATAGTGTGTTCTCGGACTTTGTGTCTTGCTCCTTGACAATAAATAGGCTTGTCTTCTGAAGGCCCGTCGCAACAACGAAAGCATGTTCATTTCCCGCTGCTGCAGGGCCTGCGGAGGGCTGGGGGCACCCCTGGGAGCATCCAGCCATGAGCCGAGAACACCCTTTGTGAAGGCGAGTGCGAGCACCAGTGGGATTTGGGGGGCGGTGGGGAGCAGTACAGGGATACAGGGTGCAGCCTGCAGCTTATTCCTGGGCCCATTACAATGACACAGGTGACCAGTGTGTGGACACACGCCGAGACCACATCACAGCATGAGCCCCACCTGGGAGCTTGCCGGAAGCGCAGACTCTCAAGCACCTCCCCACACCTAGTGAAGGAGAAGCCACAGTCTGACACCACCCCCAGGTGACTCCACGCAGGCTGGAGTCTGCTGGCGTCTGACTCAGCAGTGGGTGAGGCACAACAGCTTTTCTGTATTTTTAAAGCTCTCCCTGTGTTTGTCATGGTTAGCTAGTTTGGGGACCCTCTGCTCTTTGCGTATGCTACAGGTAATAAAGATATTGTTTAAGTGCTTTTATCCTGGAAACACGTTCATTCCAAATGTAGAAAGAACGTATTAAATAACTTCCCTAACTTCTGAGGCACTTACAAGGGACCCAGACCCTGTCAGAGTGATCTCTTGTTTCCTTTTCTGTACAGCGCTAAGTGGATTCGGTATTTATGTGTTAAGGTTTGGAACAGGCTCATACAAATACTGCAGGTGCTAGAATAGCTGTGGCAGGGTCACGCCACCGCCGAGCTGATCGCCCCTCCCTGCGCCTCACGGCCGGGGCGGGTAGCGGAGCGCCTGGCCTGCCACCGACTCCTCTCGCTGAGCCCGCGCCGGCCGCTCTCAGCTAGCGCGTGCAGATTTGTTGTGACAGTCGTTCAACGCGGATGGTATGTGCAGCCATTCTCTTTGGCAGCACACTTTTTGATTTCAGGATAAAGTCTGTGCACCTGTGAGACTAACGAAGCTCTTAGTAGGTTCTAGAGCTGTTACCTTCCAAACAGTCCACTCTTGGGAGCTGCAGCATTCGAATAGCCATGCAGCAGACAGTGGACGCCGCTGATGTGGAAAGTGTGATCCGTCTCTTCTCCTTCAGCTGGCTGTCACGAGACAGAGCCGGGACAGCCCTGGTATGTGTGGCTCTGGGTCACTTCTGCTCTGCGTCCGTGGACTTTGTGGTCGCTCAGCAACAAAGGCATCCAGCATCCAATGGCGTGGCTGATTCAAACAGCTGCTACTTGAAACCTAAGTCCAGATTTGAACCTCTCCCCTAAAAGTGTCACATTGCTAGTAAAATAACAGTTCCATAGGTGACATCTCCCCAGCCCCAGATTCCAGTCAGAGAGGCAGTCCACCAGCAAACACACTTGCCTGCAGCCTGTCACAGCAGGTGCTTCTGTGCTAATTAAACCACATGAATGGGTTTGAACATGCCCAAAGCCTTCAAAATACAAAGCTAATTTTTGTAACTCAGATAAAACTAACTATGCATCTGGAACCTGTGGAAAGATATAAATCAAAATTCTGTGACAGAAAAAGCCACAAACAGGTCTTGATCCTCCACTACACTGGAGGTGCAGAGACTGGCGGGCAGAGACTCACACTGGGATTCCCCAGTTCAGAGCACCCAGGGCTGACTCCAGATCTTGGAACACAGTGACATTCCCATGGGGACAATCCCTGATGTGTCCACAGTGAGGCATTCCCGATGCTCAACTAGGCCCCACCTAAGGGATGTGGGGTGAGGGGACAGGTAGGGAGCTGCACCATCCAACAGCCCCACCGAACTCTCTAGAATGTGTGACTGCTCTGAAGGGGGGATCCAGGCTAGGGTCTGGAAATTATTTTCCAGTATCAGCATTTAGCAAATGAGATATACCTTGACCTACACCAAGTAGCAATTACCTTTGACTCCCTTCATCCACAGCCCCTCAGTACAACCAGTTGTCCAACCCGACATCCTGGAGGGAAAAGCTTGGGCTGAGGTTTGCAAAGATGACAAACACCAGAGCCGGCAGACATTGGAGCTCCACTAGTCCAGCCCCCAAATCTGCAGGTGTGCAGCTGAGATCCTGAGCATCTTCCAATCACAAGCAGAGCCAGGGCCTTCCACGCACCCCTCTCCCTCGTAAATTTGTCCACTCAGTTTACTGAGGGCCAACTAATGCCCAGTGCCGGGAGCAACCAGAGCCCTTGCGTTCCCAGAGCGTGTGGTATGGCAGGATGTTAAGCAGGAAAAGGACGAGTCTGATGAAAGTTACAAAGGGGGACACACAGGTGCTGTGTGAGCTGAGGAAGGGATGCCTAGGAGTAAGCGCTGAGGAGCTGGCTGGGCAAAGGGGGCTCTCTAGGCTGGAGGAACGGCGAAGCCCCAGTGGGAGCTGGTGCAGGGAGCTACAGGGAGTCCTGCATGGCCGGGGAGCAAGGGTGAGGGATCCGCCCACACTGTGGAAGGCCCTGGGAGCCTCAGCATGGTGAGGAACTTGGAAGTCTTTAAACAGGATGAGGTTTGTATTTTTAAAATGCCACGTTGTCTGTCTGGGGAATAAAGAGGGATGCAAGGAGCCAACTGTGGGAGGGTGGGGGGTTGGGTATTGTAATCCATGCAAGCAGCGATGGAGACTTCCCCTGCGAGGATGACAGTTAGAACACAAAGGAGAGTCGCATCACCCTGAGAACAGGCTGTGGCTGGGCTGCTGTTCCAGTGAGGCTGGGAGGCGTGGAGCAGACACCCAGCTGAGCTCTGGCTGCCCTGCAGGTGCACGAGCTAGTCAGCTGAGCCTCCCGCCAGCTCTAGCCTAGTCATCCACTGCCGCCAGCCCTCGGACATGTGAGAAATAATAAATTGGTGCATAAGTCACTGAGTTTGGGGGTAGATTCTTATGAAGCAATGGCAAACTAATACAGAGAAGATCTAGTATGTTAATTTATTACTTTTTCAGGGCCACATGGCAAACCATGGGAGAAGGTAGACAAACTTGGCCCAAACTGTGGTCTCCTGCGTGGAGCCATTTCCACAGGCATCTTCAGAGTACACGTCATTCTCTTTAGAGAACAAGTCCTGGAAGAACAGGTGTCACGCGTCCTGCAGACAGAAGGGCTGGCAGACCGGGACCCCATTAGGATGGGTATTGGAAACAAGACAGGACAAAAGGAGAAAGAAGGGCAAAGGTACAGTGAGCAGGACTTGCTGACTGATAGGATGTGAGGGGACAAGGGAGAGCTGCAGGAGCCCAGGAGCAGCCTGGGGACCTGAGCAGATGGGAGGCCTGGCAGACACCTGGCAGGAGGAGGCTCTGTGTGCCGCTCTCTCCTCCTGCTGGCTTCAGACAACTTCGAATTCAAACACAGCGCCTAGAGTCTACAGCTTTTTTCTTTTTTTGCTAAGTACTTTATACAAACTGCTGGTTGCTTTCTAGATTAAAGGGTATCTCAGTTATTCAGTTACTGAGGCCCAGGCTATAAATATAGCAGAAGGGGGAAGAAAAGGTAATGACCCAAGGAGAAGGGAAAGCTTTCCGACACTGGGGCCCTGCCCACAGCCTGCGACAAGGAGTCTCTTGACAAATACTGTCTGAACCCAGAGGATCACACTTGACTGCAGAGAACCATCACAGTCTGCTTGAAGAACATTCTTAAAGTTCCAGTGAACCTGTGTTGGTGGCTTCGCATCAGTAGCCCATACGACCCAGAAGCCGAGGGCAGCAGCCGCACTGCCTGGACCGCTGGGACGCACACAGTGAGAACACACAGACAAAGCTGGAGACGCCCATGTGGGTGTTCATCGTTGTGAGCAAAGGAGCAGCCAACAGGATCTGTGCTGTGCTCGCCCCTGGAGTGGACAGATGCCTCTCCACTAATCTAGTGTTTGCCAGTTGTTACAAAATGATCTGGAGAAAACTGGAAATGGATAGAGAAAGCAATGCTTTATGATTCAGCCGGCTTTTTGGGGGAGTTTACCTAAAATCTATATGGACAGTGGCTGAACTCACCTCTGAGAACAATAGGATCTTCACTTTTCAATCTTCCTGCAGCCCTTATTAGCACCTCAGGGAGCCATTGTTGACAATTGCTTCCCAGGTTGATATCCTTCTGGGGAGTAGGACAGATGCTATTGCTTTTGCTTAAGGGCAAAGTTTTAAGTCCAAAGACCCTAAAGAGAGAACCCAGAAGGAGAACTCTCAGAGATGAATCAACGGTATTTACCTGGGGGGCTGTTGACACGACAGAGGTGACAGCAGAGTCAGTGTCTTGCAGTCTTGAAATGAGATCAGAAAATTGTTGACACCAATAGAGCTAGAACTGCACACATTGGAGTCATTCTGACCAGCTGTTCCCAGGCCAGCCGTGTCTGTGCTGAGCACAGCGTGGCCGTGGTGATCATCAGCCATTCTGACTGCACGTCCCCAGGGAAGCCGGACTGCAGGGAGAGGCTGGCTTTGCAGGAAATTAGCTTCCTAGAAATGGTCTGCATTTCTAGGATGGTAAAATGAGAAGCTTTCTTAGTTCAACGGTACAAATAGAAACTTTTTTCTTCCGTCAGAGAGTTACTTTATTTACTTAGGGAATATCAGTGGAATATTGTTAAAGCCCTTCACTAGAACTTCCTACCAATTACCTAGTGAATCCATGTGACTTCATCTGTCTTGAATACAGAGACCATTTAATAGCAATATAATTGGTTCTAGGTTTTTAAAGGATCATTTCATTTACATCATATATGTGATAGACACAGCACATGTTGGATATATGATCATGGACTATAAAGTTAATGCTAAGAGTCTTGTCAAGAGTTGCCTAATATACTCTTCCACTCGTACTTCAAGCATGCACATTTAGGATTATTAATTTGCCAAATTTTAGCGTGCATTAAAATATTTAAAACCTAGCCTTACACTTCCTGTGGTACTCTATAAATTGAATCTTGGCCAAAGTGGAAAAAGGATATCTCAATAACTCAGACTACTGAAAAGAAAACATTTCTTTAAAAAAAATCAGAGAAAGGGAAAATGGTGCCATGGGTA